CAACAGGGCACGTGAAATTAATGGACATAGAGTTCCAGATTCCATCAAATGCCTTGACATGACAACACTTGGGATTTAAATAAGCAGAAGCTGGGTCAGTATATGAAAGTAGTTCTGCTGCCAAAGAAGTTTGGAGCACAAAAACACAGGGTTTTAAACAGGGTTTGTTGAGATTTTAAGTTTTTAAAACAGTTTCCACCAATTTTTTCCCTAGAAATGCTTATGGTGGTTGCAAACCTGTAGTGGGATAGTTCTGGGATCTTTTTAAACTATAAGCATATTTTATACTTAGAAGACCCAGCAAATTAAATTCTGGCCATCATAGGGCCCAAAGAGCAGGTCCTTGCATTGTTGTTGTTAAGTGCTATCAAGTCAGTTATATCTCATAGCAACCCTGTATAGGGTTTCCAATGAGTGGTTGCTGGGTTTGAATCACTGACCTTGTGGTTAGCAGTTCAGTGCTGATCCTATAGCCCCACACCAGGACTCTATACCCTTGCATTGTCTAATGTTAAATCTTTAAATAGTCATTGCCACTGTTTCCTATTGGACTAGTCATCACATTTTCTGTTTCAAAACTGATGTCCAGAAGTTAAGATAAATGACTTTCCATAAATATAGTCTGGGAACATAGCTTCTATGTTTTAGGGCGAAAGTAGTCCCCAGAGATATCAGACACAATAAATACTTGGACATTGTACTCTGGGAGAAACCATAACTTTCTCAGGAAAGGAAAGAATAAAGTCTATGACTTACACACCTCAGATGACTGTGAAGAACATGGACTGAGGATCAGAAGAGGAAGTGTCCTTTTAAGAGAGAGAAAATAGATGTAGGGAGCAGTTGCATTATATCATCTATCCTTCATGGAAATTCTTGCTTTACAGATGGCTGTCAACCATGCATACTAAAATATATATGTATATTGAGAGAGAGAGAGAGACTTAGTTCCCTTCTGATCCTTATGCTCCTAAAATTTTGAAAACATTTCTTTCTTTTTTGTATATGAGTGTGTTTCATTTTGTTTAATTTCTTTTACCTATCTTCAAGTTCATTTTCAGGTCAAACTTTGTCCAATATTGGCAGTTTCATTTGATTCAACCTAATTTATTAGCCAAATGGGAAAAAATTTAAATTTCTCACATATTACTAAATAATTTTCCAATATAAAGGCTTTTCTGATTGACTCCTATTAACAGTACACAATATTACCAATGATTTTTACTTTTCTCAGTCGGGTGGAAGGGACATTTAATTATTTTGATTTCCATCTCCCTTATATATTTATTTACATTTTCTATATTTATCTATCCATTGTTTTACTCTCCCACTAAAGAATAAGTTTCGTGAGAGCATGAACTTAGTTTCATTCACCATTGCATCTCCAGTGCCTAGAACATTGTATTAATGTTATTAACTCCTTACTCATTAAATATGGGAGTCCTGATGTAGTGCTGAAGGATAAGCACTGGACAGCTAACAGCAAGGCTGGTGGTTCAAGCCCACCAGTCGCTCTGCAGAAACCCTATAAAGGTCATTATGAGTCAGAACCAACTTGATGGCACTTAACAACAACAATAACAACTCATTAAATACTAATTGAGAAACAAATGAATGGAGGGATGAAAGTTATGGGATGAATATAAAAGTGGATATTAGTTAAAGTTCCAGAGATTTACTCCTCTCCTGATTCTTATACTTCAGCTGTTAAGCTAAAAATAATGTGTTCTGTCTCTAAAAAGACATAGCTGTAGATCACACTTTTGGACTGGTTCCTATCTTTAGGTCTCAGGCATCATCTATTCTTGAATAATGCATATATCACTTCTTGTGAACTTCCTTTGTATTGTTATGTTGTGTCCATGTTTTTGTTGTTGTTAAATACCTTGGAGTCAGTTCTGACTCATAGTGACCCTACAACAGGGTTTCCAAGCCTGCAAATCTTTATGGGAGCAGAAAGCCTCATCTTTCTCCCACGGAACAGCTGGCAGTTTCGAACTGCTGACCTTGAGGTTAGCAGCCTGATTCGTAACCACTACGCTACCAGAGCTTCTGTGTTGTGTCCATAGTGAATGTTAATTGTTTATGTCCTGGTATCCTCACATAATGATTGCTCATCTAGTGACTTTTGTTTGCCATAAAGGCTATTGGAAAGTTGTACCATTTTTTTGACAATGACTTTTTAAAAAAATATAAGGATGTTTTCACCTCAAAACAAATGGACTAAGTAGGCTACAAGAAATTATATTTTGACATCATGGTTTCTAAGCAAAGACACTATGTAGAAGAATTTACATGGAAATTACAAGTGAAATTAGGACTCAGCAAATTAAAAAAAAACAACAACCTTTTTTTCCTTGCTGACTCTTAGTTTCTTTCAACAGGGATCTGTTAAAAAGTCTGGAGGAGGCATAAGGGGCTTCCTGTTTTGCTTCTTGGCTCCTGTCAGCATCAGCCTGGCAATGGCAATGACTTCACCCCGGCAACAACAGTTGCTTGCAGTCTCTTCTTTTTTTCTTCACATTTGTAGAACTAGCCTCATTGCACTCATTCATCAGACTTCTGGCAGCCCCTCTTCAGACTTCTGAGTCCCAACTCCATAACTTCCTCTGAATTCTTGAGGCGCCAGCACCAGTTAAAAAGCACTTCTTTTTCAGAAGTCAGAATCCCAGCTGTATAGGGACTTTAATCCAAGTATTTTAGTTCTAATAACACCAATCTCTTATCTTTGTTTCCCCAAATCTAGGGTTGATACTGCTTCCTACAGTTACCATTTCTATGTTATATCCATGCCCTCTTGTGCCTTTTAGACTGCCAATATCTGTTTAATTCCTTGTATTAAATTCTTTCTAATGTGCGATTCCTATTTGGACCCTGAATGACACAATACTACTCACCAATTTACCGGACACAACAGGTTCTAGCCAGAAACTCTGATAGCATAGTGGTTACGAGTTGGGCTGCTAACCTCAAGGTCAGCAGTTCAAAACTACCAGTCATTTTCTGGGAGAAAGATCCGGCTTTCTACTCCCATAAAGATTCACAATCTCGAAAACACTCCACAGCACACCACCAGCACCAGTCAAAGACTATCATGTGGAGCAACTTTGAATTGCATGCTGTGTTTGGATGAACCAAAAATATTATGCTTGTGTACACATGCCAAACAAGGGGGATGCAGAGGAGATCACATCTTTTGTGACTCTTCAATGTGCTGCATGTGCCTACCATTTTCATGTGCTTGCAAGACGATTTGGTGAAAAGTCTTAATGAAAAGAGAAATATCTTCAAGTTCACTGAAATTTGATGATGAATGCTTGCTTAAAAGTCAGTCACTGAATCAACACCTTTCAAATAATAATTCCCTCATACTTCTCCACTGACCATCAAGTCTTCTTTCGCTCTTTTGCTGACTGTAATAGATTTTCATATGTAGCGATGATATTTGGTTTTTTTTTTTTTTTTTTTGGTTTATTATAAATACTTGATTTAATAGTTTGAGCTATTTATTTTCTGTTGTGTCTCTTCAGTTAGGATAGAAAGCACCACAATATTCCCCATTAAAATAATGGTAATTTTTTTTCATTCAACATCTTTTCACTTAGTGGTAGGGTTTTCAAATATAAAAGAAAGTCATTAAACAAATATTTGTAGATAAGATGTATAGAGCCAGGGACTATAAAGATAAATCCTGTTATGTCCCATATTTCTAACTTTGGATATAAGCTGTCCTTATGATACAGAAGGACTGAGAGAAGAGAAAATGCTAGTCAGTCATGTGTTTAGTCATTGTCAAGTATTTATATATTGATTACATGAGTGTCTTAAACAAAGTACAGATGAAATAAGAGCAGCAATTTCTTCCCTAAAAGAATGTAAACTCCAGTTAAGAAAACAAAATTGCCATGTTTGTAACAAATAGTTTGTAAAAGAAAATGCAAACTAGTCTAGTCCAAACACTGTACAAATAAGAACAGTTTTGTTATGGATTGAATTGTGTTCCCAAAAATAGGTGTTATAAATCTCAACCCATATATCTGTAGATGTAATCCCATTTGGGAATAGAAACCTATTACTTTGTTGTGTTAATGAAGTTGTAATGGAAATGGGCGTCTTTTAAACCAATCACTTTTGAGATATAAGAGTAGATGAGAAAAAAAAGAGTAGATGAGGCACAGAAGAAGGCTGACGTAGGAAAGACCACTAACACTATCTGAAGACATTGGAAGCAGGCTAGTCTGTAAGACCATTAACTCCAAGGATATTTGGCTCTGGCTAGAGAAGTTGAGACAAGAATTTTCTCCCATAGCCCAGAGTCCTGAATTTGAACTTCTCTAAGAGCCAGTGTACTGAATTTGAACTTCTAGCCTCCTAAACTGAGAATAGAGTTTCTTCTATTTTCTTAGAATAACAACAACATTAAGAATAATAATTATATGGTTGACATCTGGTCTGGTAGTTCTTATACAGAGGAGCCAAGGTGGTGAAGTGATTAAGCACTCAGTTGTTGACCTAAAGGTCTTTGGTTTGAATCCACCAGCTTCTCCACTGGAGAAAGGTATGGTAGTCTCCTTCCATAAGCTTACTGCCTGGGATACCCTATGGGTAGGTTCTCTGGGGTCACTCTGAGTGAGAATTGACTGGTAAAGGAGGAAAAGCTAAGTTAGTTGTTCCTCTAAGATGGAGTCCCCATTGTTCAGGACCTTTCTTGGGCTTCAGTACAGAGGTATGTTCCCAGGTGCAGCAACACTGATAGAACCAGAAGAAAGCAACCTGGGAACAATAACTGATGTTATCACCAGAATAATGTCCTTTCAACATCTAGAACAGTCAATATGTAACCACAGACAGAACTTTAATGAAGTGAAATGAGAAAACATCTTTGGAGTCATGTCAGATGGGTTGGCTACCTGCCTGGCATCTCTTTAAAGGAAATGAATCTGCAATCTCTGCAGAAGGATAAATGCCAGGGGTCCTCAGGCTGGGATTTGGGACTCTACCCATGCAGTGATGCACTGTTCGGGAATGGGGTTTTGACCAAGTCTCCAGTCTACTGGCCAAGGGTCCCCTAGCGCTCTCTGGATGATGTAGTTCTCCATGGTTTGGTGACCTTGGAGTATATCCCTTTTCCCCCTTTGCAATTTACTGTGTTGAATGTCTAATTCTGCTTTGGAATAAATCTTTCCTAATTCTTTATAAAAAGTGTGTGTTCGGTGCCTTGGTTTCACCCTTGGGTAGTAGAGAATGACCACTCTAATTACCTCGCCGTGTAACTGGTCACTGTGGATTAAGTTTGGGTTTAGTCCTTGTCCTCCCAGACTCCTGCTTTGTCTGACCTTATGGGCCCCAGTTCTTAAAACTATAAAAATAGAACTAAAGATTGGATCACATTAGAGATAGTGATGCCTCAAAGGTCAAATGAATCAAGACTTGAATCTAAGAGTGAGTAATGGAATAGGAGAGTGTAACTGTGACTTAGGAGCCATTTGAATTGTCCTGGTTTAGCATTTGTCATCCCCAAACATGACTATAAAGGAGCTCTGGTAGCGTAGTGGTTAAGACTCCGGCTGCGAACTGTAAGGTCTTCAGTTAGAAACTACCAGCTGCTCCGCGGGAGAAAGATACGGCTTTCTGCTCCCATAAAGATTTACAGCCTTGGAAACCCTGTTCAGGGTCACTATGGGTCGGAACTGACTCGATGGCACTTAACAACAATAACAATATGACTATAAGGAGCTCTGGTAGCATAGTAGTTATGAATCGGGCTGCTAACCTCAAGGTCAGCAGTTTGAAACTACCAGCAGTTCCACGGGAGAAAGATGAGGCGTTCTCCTCCCATAAAGATTTACAGCCTGGGAAACCCTGTGCAGGGTCACTATGAGTCGGAACCAACTCTATGGTACTTAGCAACAACAACAATTTGACTAGGATATGGATCTTCTCCAACGCCATGTTCCACAGATGTAGTCAATTTGATACCTGTGTAATCCATCCAGTGAAGCTCATGTGTATAGTTAGTTGTCAATTGTGTTGCTGAAAAAATATCTATATACTTCTGATGAGTAACTTGTAGGCCTTGCAAAATTATATCATGCAATTTCCAGGATTGTTTTTGTGGCCTAGGCAGTGTTTTCCAACCACTGGTTCTTCGTTTCCAATTTTCACATTCCAATCACCAGTAATTACCAATGCATCTTGATTACATGTTTGATCAATTTCAGATTGCAGCACCTGGTAAAAATCTTCCATTTCTTTATCATTTGCATTTGTGGTTGGTGAATAAATTTGAGTAATGACCATATTGACTAGTTTTCATTGTAGGCATGGATATTAACCTATCACGGGCAGTACTGTATTTCAGGATCGATCTCAAAATGTTCTTTTTAATGTCTGATGCAATGCCATTCTTCAATTTGTCCTTCCCAGCATAGTAAACCTAAGATTGTTGGATTCAAAATAGCTGATCCCAATTCTTCATCAGGTCACTAAAGCCTAGGATATTGATCTCCAAGCATTCCATTTTATTTTTGATGACTCCCAATTTTCCTTGATTCATTCTGTGTACATTCCATGTCCCAATTACTAATAGATGTTTACAGTTGTTAAGTCTCAATTTGAGTAATGCCACATCAGCAAATGGTTTCAAAGGCTTTATTCCATCTATGTCATTAAGATTGACTGTATTATGGGAGGCAGCTTGTCCCCAGTGGTGTTTTGAGTAACGTCCAACCCAAGAGTCTCATCTTACAGCACTATGTCAGACAATGTTCTGTTCTTATCAATAAGATTTTCACTGGGTAATTTTAGGAAGTAGACCAATACACCTTTCTTTCCGGTCTGCGATGTCTAGAAGCTCTACTGAAACCTGTCCATCATAGGTGACCCAGCTGGCATTTGAAATACTAGTGACATAGTTTCCAGCATCATAGCAACATTGAAGCCACCATAGTATGAAAAATTGGAAGATAGGTAGAGTTGTCTAAGGAAGTGAGATACTAAAATGTTGCATCTAAATAAAGATGAAATTTATGTTCAATGAATAGTTGTATGTTGTTGTTGTTGTTAGGGGCCATTGAGTCAGTCACAACTTATAGCCATCTTATGCAGAGCAGAACGAAACACTACCCAATCCTGGGCCAACCTCACTATTGTTGCCACACTTGAGCCCACTGATGCTGCCACTTGGCCAATCTGTCTCACTGGGGGTCTTCCTCTTTTTCTCTGACCCTCCACCTTACCAAAAATGATATCCTTCTCCAGCAACTGCTCCCTCCTGACAATAGGTCCGAAGTATAAGAGACAAAGTTTGGTCATCCTGGCCTCCAAGGAGCATTCTGGCTGCACTTCTTCCAACAAGATCTGTTGGTTCTTTTGGCAGCCCATGGCACTTTCAATATTCTCTTCCAACACCACAACTCAAAAGCATCAATTCGTCTACTGTCTTCCTTATTCATTGCCCAGCTTTCGCATCCATATGAGGTTATTGAAAAATACCATGGCTTGGGTCAGGTGCACCTTAGTCCTCAAGCTGACATCTTTGCTCTTCAACACTTTGAAAAGGTTTTGTGCAGCAGATTTGCCTAAT